GACTAAAAACACATTTGTTTAGGATTGCCTTCCACTGTTCTAGTTAAACAGTTCAACTGTTTTTAATGTTCTTTTTTGTTTCTGCATTATTAATTGTTTTTCCTACTTGCATTGATTCTGTTTTATTTTCCTATATTTTAATCATGTAAAGCAGGCATCCCCAGCCTCAGTCCTGGAGGCCCGCTATCTTGCAGGTTAGAGGTTTCCCTGCTTCAGCACAGCTGGTTATAATGACTGCAGTAGACCAAACGCCCGTTAATCAGCTTTCAATTAAAATCAGCTGTGCTGGAGCAGGAAACCTCTGAAACCTGCAGGACAGCGGGCCTCCAGGATGCCTGATGTAAAGCACTTCTCACTGTCTTTGTACTGAATAGTGCTATAAAAATCATTGCCTTGCCTTGCCTTGCTTTGCCTAGTTCATCCACTGACTGGGAAATTACCAGTGGAACATCTTCCTGCAGCCAGAAAACTGCTGGTTTCAGCAGCTAAATGCTGCACAGGGAGGCATTTTTACTGCATGTCTCTTTGGGAGTGGGGAGTACCAAGATGGAGGAGGTTGGCTTCACTTTTTTCCTGCAGATCAGTGGGAGCAGCCGGCTTGCTTGGACTGACAATGCATCATGGGATACCCAAGGCTACAGAGGATACAGCGGAGCTGTCCTTCCAAACGGAGAAAAAGAAAGACGCATTTGTCGGCCGATTAAGGAAGAGTCTTCCAATCCTAACAGACTGCAGATGCAGGGAGGAACAGCACCCCCTACAGGTGGCTGTAAGTCATTCTGAGACAGTAAATAATTAAATGAGATCAAATCCAGTTAAATGTACTTTATTGATGCCAGAACCATCAACCATGAAATATAAAGCATTGAACACTAAACCCACCACAGCACAGATAGCACTGAAAGGCACTGAACTAATGAGAAAACCATGGGGGGTCTGCTCAGTGCAGGAAGTTAACAGGGTTAAGGTTAGGGTCAGGGTTACAGGGTTAGGTTAGGTTTGGGTTAGGGGCAGGGTTAGGGTTACAGGGTTAGGTTAGGTTTGGGTTAGGGGCAGGGTTAGGGTTAGGGTTAGGTTAGGTTAGGTTTGGGGCAGGGTTACAGGGTTGCAAATGGAATAAACTTTGTTTTACTGTGAACGAAATGAAAGCAGGAATGAAGCAGGATGAAGCCGTTTGCTGTTTCTGAACTGAGTAAGGTCCTGCTGATAATAGAGCTTATTCTAAGATAGAGAGATAAGGGATTAACTGGGATTAGTGGAAATTAACTAGCATTAACTGAGATTAGGACCACCCTGCAGAGAAACGGCTTCTTTATTATTGGTTTCTGCTTTAGTGGATGATTTTCACCCAGTATTGGTCCAGGAATGACGTGTTTGTGATCCTCAGGATCTGAAGAAGAGAAGCTGAGGGAAGCGATGATGTCACTGATGGTTGGTTTGTAATCAGTCTCTACTTCTGATTTGCTCTCTCTTCCTCCGCTCCTCCTTAATCCTCCTCGTCCTCTTCATCTTTTCCATCCTCCTTTGGTTTCCCGTCCTCCTTCAGCCTGGAGCGAAGACGTTGGAACAGTGCTAAAACCCAAAGGAGAGTTGGTCAGAAAGAGAAGGCAGTGGCGGCTGATGGCGGCTGATGGCGGTCTGCTCCACCTCACCTTGTTGTGAGATCTTCAGGTCCGTGTACAGAGCTGGATCAATGCTCTGAAGATGGCGGATCACCTTCTGGCAGTCCTCTGCTCCGCTCTCGTAAACCATCTCCACCAGGCAGCTGGCCTTGTTCACTCTGGTGTGGTTTTTCTCCAGGATAGATTTCCTGTCTGCTGCCGTCAAGACTTTATCTTTTACCAGGACCTCCAGGAGCTGCTCCAGGGTTTCACTGGACACCTTTTTTATGAAGTCCAGGAGCATGTTCTTGGCTCCCTTTTCTGCAGCTGTGAAGATAAAACAAACTAGATTAGATCCTTTCTTCTGGGCAGTGGCTTCAGATCTGGAGTCCTAGAGGCTTGGTGTCCCTGGGTCTCCACTGCTGACCCAACGGCTGAAGCTCCTCACCAGAGCTCTGCTGAGGATCTCATCTGGAAGGCAGAGACACCGACCCCCTAGGACCACTGGTGTCCACAGGTTTGGACTGGGTCATTTAAACTGGGGTTCCACTGACTGGGTCCTGATCTGTGAAACTTTAATCTGCTCCAGAAGCGCCTCTATCAGACTCCGCCCAGTGACAGTGACTGGAACCACTGGTTCCTCTGATACTCTGCAGGCCGTCCTCCAGGACTTCCTACTGTTGGGCCTCCAGCGCCTCCTGGAGGAGCTCCTGGCTCCCTACTGGTCTCCTCGTTGGACCTGCTGTTTTTGGCTCCTGAACTTCTCACCAAACCCGCCTGCCTGCTGCACACCTGGTCTTCCTAACTTCTACCTGCCACTGAGGAGGGAGAGTCGGCAGATGATGGAAATGTTGTAGAGACCTGAACAAACACCTACCTCCTCCAGACGTTGGAGAAGATGGATTGCTCTGCTGCTCGTCTTCAGCTAAAGCTGCATCTGAAACCAGCAGGCAGAGCGTCAGAGTTCCTGCCTTCTTATTGGTTCTGCTCTGCTTCCATCTGACCAACCTGTGCTCTCCTTCAGCTCATTCAGAACCTTCTCCACCTCCTCCCTGCTGTCTGAGTTGTACATCCTCATCACCACATCTGCTGCATCCACCTTCTCCCCATCCTCTGCTGGAACCCTTTTGATGGATTTGATGCCGCCCTTTAGCTTGTCGGTGCTCTGCAGTAACATCTGGCAGTACTTCAGCTCTTTGTCGCCCAACTCTTCGAAAAAGTCCAGAATCCAGTGCTGGAATCACAGCAGACACATAAAGGTCACCTGTTGTTCATCACCTTACCTGATGGACCGTCCCAAACCTTGTGCAGGTTTAGGTTCAACCTGAATTTTAATGTTTCCAGAAACAAATGAGAGAAAGGATCAAAGGACGAAGTGAAAAAGGCTCAGTTTGGACAGAAGCTTCTGCTGGAGAAGTCGGAGAAGAAACAGGCTAGATCTGCCAGAGGTGTGAATACTTATGGAGCCAAGTGATTACCTGTGCTATATTGTTGCTGATCTTCTCCAGTATCTTCTCTGTCACCTCCCTGGTGTTTGCAGGGTACATCTGCAGCAGCAGGTCCAGCAGGTCCAGCCTGTCAGCATGCTTCAGGCGGCACCTTCTGATGGACTTAAAGCCATCTTTGGACTCGTCTGCAGTCCGCAGGTACCAGCGGAAGTACTTCACCTCCTTGTTGCGTAAATTTTCCAGAGAGTCCTTTAACCAGTGCTTCAGCTCCTGGAGGAGGAAACTCCGTTTAATGAGGCAGAGCTTTCAGCAGGTAGAGCGTGGGCTGCTCCGTTCAAACACTAGGTGTCCGGAAGGACTTACAGCGTCCTTATCCCATGGAGGACATATCTGGCGCCAGCGTTCCTCCCCCTCCTCAGACAGCAACCTCTTCAACCTTTGGATCAGAAGATAATGGAGGTTAGTGGCAGTCAATGCTGAGGTAAATGAGCAGCCTGGACAATGCTGCTCCCATGGGAAGAAACCAGCCATGGGAGGAAATGTCCTGTTTCTGCTTCCTTCAGGAAGCTAAATCTGCAGCGTGGCTGAGGAGGAACTGACCTTATACCAGCAAACAGATGCTTCTTGGGCTTGTTATCTGAGGAAAGTTCAGAGACACGTTGATGATGTTGCAACATTCAGAGAGGAAGCAGAGTGTGAGATGGACCTGTCACCAGTAGCATGGCAACTCACCTGGAGAAGGTAAGCTGAGCTCCGAGGTCAGCTTTGGATTGATGGTCTGCAGATGGGTGATCACCTCCTTGGAGGCATCAGTTCCTTTATCCATCACAATGTCCACAAAGCAGCTGGCCATATTGACTTTGGTGTGGTTCTGAAGGATTTTCTCCGTCTCTGTAGACTTCAGAGTGTTGGCAGCCATGAGAGTCGTCATGAGTTGGTTGAAGGTTTCTTTAGGTACTTTCTCTACAAAATCACTGAGCATCCTGCTAAGAACTTTCTCTGTAGAAGAAATAGAGGAAAATCCCAGCCGTTAATCCTGGACCTTCAACTGTGCATCCAAGCATGCTTCAGGATGCAACCCAGACATCTGCTCCAGCAGCCTACCTAATGGAATGGTTCTGCAGAGACCCAAATGGGTCATCTGTGGTTCTGACATGATCCAAACTGGTCCTCTGTGGTTCTGACATGATCCAAATGGGTCATTTGTGGTTCTGACCTGACCTAACGAAGCTCCACCTGGGTTCACTCAGTAGTTATTCCCACAGACATCCAGGTTTGAATGATACAAATGAGAGCTTCCGCTTGCTAATGGGACAGAACCAGTTTGGACCACTTGCTAATGGGACAGAACCAGTTTGGACCACTTGCTAATGGGACAGAACCGCTTTGGATCGCTTGCTAATGGGACAGAACCACTTTGGACCACTTGCTAATGGGACAGAACCAGTTTGGACCACTTGCTAATGGGACAGAACCAGTTTGGACCACTTGCTAATGGGACAGAACCAGTTTGGACCACTTGCTAATGGGACAGAACCGCTTTGGATCGCTTGCTAATGGGACAGAACCACTTTGGACCACTTCCTAATGGGACAGAACCTGTTTTGGACCGTTTGCTAATGGGACAGAACCTGTTTGGACTGCTTGCTAATGGGACAGAACCAGTGTGGACTGTTTGCTAATGGGACAGAACCACTTTTGGGACAGAACCAGTTTGGACCGCTTGCTAATGGGACAGAACCAGTGTGGACTGTTTGCTAATGGGACAGAACCACTTTTGGGACAGAACCAGTTTGGACCGCTTGCTAATGGGACAGAACCAGTGTGGACCGCTTGCTAATGGGACAGAACCGCTTTGGACCACTTGCTAATGGAACAGAACCTGTTTGGACTGCTTGCTAATGGGACAGAACCAGTGTGGACTGTTTGCTAATGGGACAGAACCACTTTTGGGACAGAACCAGTTTGGACTGCTTGCTAATGGGACTAGGGAGCATCTCTGCTGGTTTGTGGAGACGTGAAGCAGAATGTACTTTAGGCTCCTACCTTCTGCAGCGGCTGTAGACAGCGATGTATCCGGTTCTTCAGCTTCAGGGATGATGTTGTCTGTTGGGAAGAATTCATCTGGGTGATTCTGCCACCAGAAAGGGACTCTGAGACTGGGAGCAGTTGTTGAATCTGGGACTCACCTTTATTGATCTCTATCTTTGCTAGGATCTTCTTTGTCACCTCCTTGGCTTTGGAGCCATACATCTGGCCCATCAGCTCCACCGTGTCCAGTCTGTCTGCAACTTCCAGACGAGACTTTTTGATGGGCTTGAAGCCGTCCTTGGAACTGTCTGCGGTTTGCAGGAACCAGTGGAAGTACTTGAGCTCCCTGTCATCTATCTCTTCAAAAATGTCCAGAAGCCAATCTTTAAAGTTCTACAAAGGTTAAAAAAAATCATTGTTATAATAAGATCAATGGATGAATTGGGGACTTTTGCAGATTTTAGCTCCATAAACAGTGTTAGCTTGGTGTTCCATAGCCAGGGGAGGTCATTGAGAAGTTTACATCAAATTATACATAATAGATAAAGAAATAGGATATTTACATGTCCTTTATATTTACTGATCTTCTTGAATATCTTCTCTGCTACTTCTCTGGCGTTTGTTGTGTACATCTGAACCATCAGGTCCACCGTGTCCAGTCTGTCTGCATGCTCCAGGCGAGACTTCTTGATGGGTTTGAAGCCATCCTTGGACTTGTCTGCAGTGTGCAGGTACCAGTGGAAGTACTTCATCTCTCTGCTGTCCAGATCCTCTAGAAAATCTTTGAGCCATTGTTTTAAGTCCTTTTGATAAAACAAAACAAGGGGACAGTTGGATGCATGTGGGCTCAGTGGACAGATGTTATAGCAGCAAATGGAAGAAATTTGAGAAACTGAAAACTAAGTAGATTTCTTCCTTTGGACACATTTTCCCTTATTGTGGTTTTACAATTGATTTCTAAAATTAAGTTAAAAGTAAATAATTGGAAATAATTTCTCACAGAACTTAATTAAACTGACCCCCCAGTAAAATAGCTATTTTGCTCTGATCAGGTTGTGGGGCCACAGCTCCAGTAGGGGTCCCAGTAATCCCCCTCATCGGCCATTATCCAGCTCACAGACCGGATATATAGACCTCCCAACAGCAGACAAGCATCAGCAGAACCAAGATATTTCAGCTCACAGTTAGAGATCCACCTCAAACTTTAAGGGCCTCCCCCCATGGTGTGGAGGCTGCAGCGCCTCAGACTGGAAGAAGGTGAGAACAGCAGAGAGGATCATGGGGGCTCCTCTTCCCTCCATTAAAGACATTTCATCCCAGCGCTGCGCGTCCCGAGCCCGTGACATCATCAATGACCCCTCACCCCCCCATTGGCATGTTGACACCACCAACAGGTCAACATGCCGAGAAATCCTTCCAATAGCTGAAGCACGCTGGACTGAAGGACACAACAGAGGACCTCATCAGGGCAAGGCAGGGACAGGCAGTCAGCACAGGAGCAACACCACAGAGTGTCTGGTCCATTAGAGAGGGACTGATGGAGGGGCCAAGATCCCATGGAACTTCTAGATACGGGTGATGGTGGCAAGGCAAGGCAACATGATGGATTGCTCTACTGTGAGGTCAATAAAGTCAATCAATCAAGGCAAGGCAACATGATGGATTGCTCCACTTTGAGGTCAATAAAGTCAATCAGTCAAGGCAAGGCAGGGAAGGGTAGAGCAGGACATGGCAGGGCAATTCATATTCAGAACATTAAAAAAAAGAAAAGTACTTTGCAGTGGTGTCAGAAAATTAAGATTCAGCAGAGGAGGGAGGGAGGACCTGCAGGAGGAGGACCTGCAGGAGGAGGACCTGCAGGAGGAGGACCTGCAGGAGGAGGACCTGCAGGAGGAGGACCTGCAGGAGGAGGACCTGCAGCGCTGTAAACAAGGGGAGACGCTGCAGCACAGCCTTCTCTGCTGCTTCCACCAGACATGATGTGTGGAAGAAGAAAAATGGGCTTTCAATCCGATTTCAAGAACGATGTTTCCAAGGCGAAGCAGAATCAAAGAACCAGAAACCAGAGTTTGATGAGGAGAAGAAACACCAAACCAGGGGAGCAAGAAGCTGAACCATCAACAAACATCAACAAAGCTGGTTTTTCCCAAACGCTCATCAGACAGTCAGGCTGAGGGGTTCAAACTTCATCCAGAAGTCTAGAAGTCGTTTCTGTCCTCTGCTGCTAAGAATTACCTTAATAGATCATTTTCCTTTATAAGGCCATTTTATTCCAATATTTATTTACTTTACTAGTTTAGTCATAATTTTGTAATTTATTTGGTTGTTTATTTATTCTGCTCTCAATCACCAACCCAAATTCCACATGGACTGTTCCAGATGGAAAAATAAACAGCATCTATATGGATCCTTATGAATTTAGCTTTGCTGTTTTTCTGTTTTAGCATTCTTCCCTTCTTCACCCCTTTCCTTCCTTATTTAACTAGGGTGACTAGTTGAATACTTTTTTCCCACTACAATTGGTATTAAGGAAACACAAACAAAAAGGGAATAAAGTAAATCACTAAAATATGTTGATTAAATAAAACAAAAAGGATAGCCAAACATTGGAGAACAAAGAAGGAAGATCTAAGTGTAATCAATCAAAGGTGGGACACAGAATGAAGAAGACAGAACAGGATGAGCTTGACATGACATGGACTATGGACATTAGACCAGAACAGAGGCCAGAACCCAGTGGGACCGGCTTCACTGGTGTGCTTAGAGCTGTAACCCTCCCACAGCAGAGCAGGGCGGAGTGTAAACAACATGACATTTCGTTTTGTTCAGCTTTCATGACACTGATCAAATGTAAACAGAGTGGGAGAAAAAATATGGTGCAAAAAACGCATTTCTATGGAAGTTCAGAGCATTGCAATCTATAGATCTGCATTCTTAAAAAAATACTGTAAGACGTCTTGTAGGGTCACTGAGCAGGAAGGTGAACCACCTGAGCAGCTTGGCCAGAGCTCACGGGAAAGTTTGGGTTAATGAGCCTAAATTTATTACATTTGGTTTATCAAGAAACATTTTACCTAAAAACTTCAACAAAACCAGTTTTCTCCAATCAGCCTAATCTGAGAAGTAAAGCCTGAGTTTAGCGGCTCCACCTGGTAGAACTTACTGCATCACTGTCGCCCTCTGGGCAGATCTGGCGCCAGCTTTCCTCTTTGCTCTCTTCAGCTCTTTAGGTCGTAACGCCACATGGAGAGATGGAGAGAAGTGATGGTTAGTAGTGAACGGTAATATGTAGGAAGGATTCCTATAATAATCTGGATCAATATTCGGCTGTGAGTCAGTCCATATCAGAGGGAGAAACCGTTTTAACCTTTTTCTGTGTATGGAAAGCTCATTTTAGATTTATTCCTCCTTCGGCCTGGCTCCAGTCCTCACAGCAGACGCTGTTACCAGACTTCAGCTTTACGGTCGACACTCATGACAAAGTCCCACATTGCTTCACAATTCAAAGGCTGCTCTTTGACATTTGTTTTATAATCCTAAATCTTACTTTAGATTAGCAGAGGATCCCTTTAAAGGAGCGACACCGCTTTTAAGAAGACGTTTAAGACCATTAATTCCTCCCTCAGTCGCTGCTTCCTGTTTGGGTTCTGATGAGCTGCCATCTGGAGGATGATGGAGAACACACGTAATTAGTCCGATCAGGAAAAGTTTTCAATACCTGGTTGTTAAACTGGGGCTTAGTGAAAACATGAAAGGATATTGCTTAAACTCTGCAAAGCGCCAGCTGGGTTAGGCTAAAACTCACCTTGCTGAGCAAACGGACCGGCGGTTAATCCCAGCTTGGACGAGAGTGGAGCGTCAATAGTTTGAAGGTGATGAATCATCTTCTTGCAGGCGCCGGCTCCTTTCTCCATCACTGTGTCGGCGAGGCCGCTCGCTCTGTTGACTGTGGTGTGGTTCTTCCCAAGTATCTTTTCCTTCTCAGAGGACTTCAGCACGCCGTCAGCTACCAACGCCTCGGAGAGCTGGCTCAGGGTTTCCTTTGGGGCTTTCTTCACAAACTCACCCAGCACCACGGCCAGCTCCTTCTCTACAGGATGGAGTTAAAGACCAACACTGAGCTATCAGCCAATGGGAAGAAACCAGAGAACATGTAGAAGGTTCTCTATAGGTCTACAGAGATCTAGATCTGCGACATAGAAACCAACAGGCCCTTTATGGCAGCATAAAGGCTGATGATTATATCCCAGACTGGTATCTGGAGTTCGGATAGCTTCTAGGTTCATGGATCTTCCTGGTTTTATCTCTTCAGCCAATCTGAGCCTCAAGAATCTTCATCTGGGTTCAGATTGAAATGAGGAGAACATTTGGAGCACTGGCGGTGTAGAGGAGGTGCCAGAGGAACTCTTACCTTCTGCAGCAGCTGGGGATGGTGGTTTCATCTGCTCCTCAGCCTCTGGAATGGCTTTGCCTGTTGGGGGAAATAGTTTTAGAGCTCAGCATAGAAGCGGAGCAGAGTTGGGTTTTCCTTCCCTTCAGCCAACAGACCTTTGTTGCTCTTAATCTTCTTCAGGATGGTCTTTGTGACCTCTTTGGTGTTGGTGGCGTAGACCTGCACCATCAGGTCTGCTGTGTCCAGCCGGTCTGCATCCTTCAGCTCCTTCTTTTTGATTGGGGGGAACTTGTCCTCCGACTCGTCCGCCGTTTGGAGGAACCAGTGAAAGAACTGTAGCTCCCTGTCGTCCAGATTGTCCAAAGTGTCCAGCAGCCAGTTATGGGCGTCCTGGATTGGACAAACGATTTATAAGGGGAACAGGCAGATTTGGGCTCATCTTAGATTTCAGGGGATTGATTAGAAGCTTTTCATGCAAACAAAGTACCGGTAATTACATTTCCTTTGTTTTTGTTGATTTTCTCCAGAATGGTCTCAGTGACTGGTCTGATCTTTTTAGGGTACATCTGTAGCATCAGGTCCACTGTGTCCAGTGTGTCTGCCCCCTCCAGACGGATCTTCTTGATGGGTTTGAAGCCATCCTTGGACTTGTCTGCGGTCCGCAGGCAGCGGTGGAATAATTTCAGCTCCTTGTTGCTCAGACCTTCCAATGACTGCTTCAGCCAAAGCTTGGTTTCCTTTCACAGTGAGAAGAAGAGTAATTAGGAAAACATCCAGAGAAACATCCAGCATGCAGACCCGCCTGTTTCACTGGCCAATCCAGTGTTTCACTGGTTCTGGAGTCTTTCTGTGAACTTCAACATGTTGATAACGTCTCATCATCCCTTTTGGTCACCAATTATCACTCCTCTCATCTTCTGCTCCTGCTGCTTTATCTACAGCTCAGCTATCAGGGACAGATCATTGCTTTAGAGTTTGTGTTGCTGACTTGGAGATAATGTCACTGCATTTTACTTTGATGCCTGAGTTCATGTCAATGGGAGTTCTGCCTCTCAACTACTGTGCTTGCTTGTTCCCATCTGAACATCTGAACTGTCTTTTGGACTCTTTTATCCCTGGATCTGCCAGTTCCTGTCCTGATCGGAACCCCTGACCGGGCTCGGATTCCTGCCCGTTCACCGGGGCGGCTGCATCTGGTTCACTCTAGGTGGCGTCCGCCGCGTCTCGTTGGCAGATCGTCGCCTGGACCCGCCCCCTCCCCCCTTTACAGCTGCAGATCCTCAGCTCTGCTTCAGTGTTTCAAATAAATGCCTTTTAAGCCATTAGTGTTTATCCTGCCTTGGATATTGGGTCCTAAGTTCTGAGCTTATCAACCTTTCACCTGGACTGTTAGGTTAGGGTCTGATCTATGAGTTTCTCATTATGTCATTATGTATTTCTATTCTATTCTATTCTATTCTATTCTATTCTATTCTATTCTATTCTATTCTAACTTGTACGGTTCCTCATTCCTGGCACCGAATCTTTAGCACGGTTCCAGATCAGATTTCTTTCAGAGTTACTCTGGAGTTTTCCAGCTGGAAGGACCTGTTAGGTCATTCTGCAGCTACTCAGACAGTTCCAAGGTCAGACTTTGACTAGGCCACCCCAAGACATGTTCTTGAGTTATTCAGAGGTGGACCTGAGATGTGAAGGTGGTTCTGCTGCAGAACCCAACTGGGGTCCCTCCTTGATGTTTGGATCTTCTCCTTCAGGATCTTCCACAAGAGGGCAGAAGTCATGGCTCCATCAATCACAGAGAGTCCTGAAGCAGACCCAGACCATCACACCGCCACCACCATGTCTGAGTGTAGCGCTTTCCTGAGAATGTGCGACGGGTTTTTATGTTTCATTTGGGTCAGCAGTGGTCCTGGAACAAGTCTCTTTGTGACTGTTGGAACGTGACCTCTGACCTTACCTGGAGCAGTGAGGCCTGTAGAGCTCTAGATGCTCTTCTAGAACCTCCTGGATGAGTCATTGAGGACCTCCTGGAGTCCAACATGGTTCTGAGACCCTCTCTAGACTGATGGATGTCCGAGGTTCATCAGAACCTGAGGTTCTCTAGTTTCTGCCTTTAGAGATCTTTAAGCCTACTTCATGCAGTCAGACAGGTTCTGTTTCAGTGATTTATTTGGAGCCCAAGGTCAGACAGTCTGGCTGAAGCTGGTGGAATCTAACTCTGTACAGACGGGGCCGCCCCCGGTTCCACAGGGCCGCTTGTTTAGGGTTGTTATTCTTTAATGATTTGAAAACAGATTAAATTCTTCAGTTAATCTTTGAACATTTATCTGTGTAGGACGGTGTGACTGAAAGGTGAAGGAGTCTCACGGGGAGCATCACCTCCTCACGTCGCTCCGCATGTCGACCTAAACATGAGCTGAAGATCAGAAGGCTGCGTCTGTGGTTTCCATTCTTACAGGGATAAATAAACTAGCTGGGATAAAGTCCCGTTACATTCACCTGTGCACCTTAACCTGCCACTGAGGTGGACATGGTGGACAGAAACTTACGGCGTCCTTGTCCCCCGGGGGACACATGGAGCTCCAGCACTCCTCCTGTTCCTTAGGGAGCTTCTTTTTTTTCTTGATAGGACTGTAGAGACATCAGGAAATGTTCATTGAGTTCAGTTCATTTCTAAAGCTCCAGTTCACAACTTTCATAGAGTAAATTATAGAGGCGATTCAACCAGATTGGCTTACACAACCTACTCCACCCTACCCTGTCTTCCTTTAATGGCCTGCCTTGGTTTGTTTTTTTTTGGGTCAGCAGGCGGGGGGAGGTGGGGGCAGGCCCACATATTGAACAATCATTTCTAACCTCATGATGGACGACAGCTTTGCTAATTCCCAGACTTCCCAGCAGCTTTTCTGTGTTAAAGGCTTCCTTCACTTCTCTGCGGTTCCCTTTCAACTACTTTCAGATGTTCTACATGGGGGGGGGGGGGGGGGGGGGGGGGTCTGGATGGTGCAGAGAAATTTGCTTCTTGTTTTCTCAGTCAATAACAACGATTCTAAAGTTCTGTAGGACTTGGACCTTTTGGAGAACATGAGCAGTTTTTACTCACTTTTCGCCGACAGGAGCGCTGGTCTTAGATGCTGTTTTAGATTCAACCACACATTCAGATTCTGCAGGATCTGTTCCTGGAGCGCCACTGAAAAGATCCAAAAGACAAACAAAACAGCCGGGTCATTTAGGGCTCCAAAGATTAGCACTAAGGGTTTAAACTCTCCACCGTTCACAGCAGGGAGCCATTAGAGATGGGACTGACATGAGACTTCCTGTTGGTTCAGCCCACACCTGAAGGATGGAAGCTATGGAGAGACACCTGAGTTCAGGTGTGAAGAAAGAGACATGATGTAGCTTTTTAGGTATTTTGACCTTGTCTGCTTAGAAGTTTAGCATAAAGAAGAAATTAAGTCCTGGAGAAGAAATCAATGGACTCAAACAAACCAAAACTAAATCGCTGAAGAGTCAAACATAGATATTGAATGCTTACATTTGACAGAGTTTTCCATAGTTGTCCTGATTAGCAGTATATGAGGTACAGTGTTAGTTAGAACCAGTTAGTTACCACAGTTAGAACCAGCAGGCCTGTAGCATGGCACTGGGAGATAAAACCAGTTTACTGTTTCCATACCGAGCCGGCCAGCAGCAGTTCAGGAAAGATGAGCGCTGGCTGGAGGCTTGGTCAGGACCACGGCCAGCAGACGCCTTGACTGAAGGTTTTTTAATGCTGTAACACAAGAGAAATCAGAGATTCTTATAAAACAG